CATGTCTGTGCTCCCTGTTTTGGGATGCAATGAAGGTAGATGGGCAGTGTCATTTGCGGTCTGCTGCTACAGTTCTGCATTCTGTCAAAGTAACATTTGCAGGATACTTAGTAGAAGTGACTGGAATAAAGGAAATAGGAAGAAACTCTGTGTAGTGAGGAATACAGAAGACAAAGGAATGACTAGAAACATGAAATGGAGAAGAGCCTTGAACTGAAAAACAAAAAAAAAAAGTAAAATTTATTTCAATTTCATTTAAACAGACTGGGTTTGGAGCAGTACAAAGATGTGATTTATATTAGGAATAAGTCAAGGGAAGGAAGATTCTGTAAAATGTTTTCACTGCTGGGACTGATGCATTTCAAAGCATAGGCTAGGATGGGCACTGAGGGTGATAGATGAGCCAGGGCTGCCAGCTGTGATAGCTCATTCTCTTCCTGGCTCATCATGCTCAAATTCTAACTCTACAAGCAGGGGGAAGGGGGGGGGAATTCATTCTATGATAGTTGAAAATGAAAAGTTACTTTCAAGAATTATAAATGCTTCAGTCATAGATAAATTTCTTTAGAATATGTTTGTGGGAAACAAAAAGTAAAAATAATGGAGCATTTCTGATTTAATGCATTCTTGGTTTTATATTTACTAGGTTGTCAAATGTAACTTTCAAAGTAACCATCATGAAATATTTACCCTTCAGCAAAGACTGACAAAGAAAAAAGCATTGATCTAAAATGTGGAGTAGGTTTTGAAAGGATTTCAGGGCATGAAAGTGTGACATTTTGGAGTATCCATTAGACTGTTAGTCCAAGTGATCTCAAAAATTACTAAAACTAGTGGCATTTATGGGAATTTCCATATGCCTATTATTCTCTATAGGTACATCTCATATCCTTAGATAATTCATATATCTAACCCAACCAAGATCCTAAAGCATATTTGAGCACCTAACAATTAATCCCTATCTTCAGAAAATAAAATAATTTCTTAAGCCCCTTTTCATGCTGCTTCCATTCAACTAATAGTGGCACATGTTTTAAATGTGATCCTGATTCATATTGTTTTGGGGTTTTTTTTTTAAATAAGCTTAAATTTGGGTAAAGAACTGTTAAAAACATGACACATTTTCTTTCTTAATATTTACACCATATCTCTGCAGAACATGTATCTTTTAAAAACATTTCACCTATTCTGCCTAGTTGCTGGTAACAGCCTTATAGTGAAAAGCCATGGGAGCTCTGTTGATTTAGATCAATTCCAAGCATGATGAGACATTTAATTTTTGTCTATGCATTGTAATTCTGTTTATTCCAGGCCCTCCTGGTATTTCTGCACATATGGTCTTTTCATTCCTTGTGGAAAAGTAGTTCTTATTCTGTCAAAGAGGAAAGATTATAATAATTGATAATAAAGAGATTGGTTAGAGGCCATTTCTAATGCTTTTAAGTCTTAAAGAGTGATTTCTCACCAATTACAATGGTTGGATAAACATACTAGGGCAAAGACTATAGAACTGTGTAGCAGCCTTTGTGTCTCTGGGCAGACCTTCACAGGAAATCTACATGTCCACAGATAAATGTGCATCCTCTTGCGTGTCATAAACTGCCTTTTTCACTCTTTGGATTGTATCAGAACCTATGTGTTCCCAAGGACCATACATTCACTCTAGTCTCACAGCGCCCTCAACTTTTGCAAGAAAGGGTCACTTGCTGTGACAAATGATGGTCCCCTCCTTTGGTCTTGTAGACACCCACTGCAGCAAGGCCAAGTGGTGGCATTTTTCTCCAGTACCTGTGGGGAACACGAGGTACTTGGCAGCCCTCTGCTACTTTCTCTTCAGTTCCTTCAAAACTTCAACAGAAAGGGGATATTTCAGAGCACAATCCTGCCCCTCTCTAGGGCTGTGTACTGGCTTACCAGGGTAGAGCTGGCCTTTGGGCTGGAAGATGTGGAGCAGCAATTAATTCTCAAAGGCTGGACTGTTATCCCAAAATTTCTACTGCCTAGAGGGCATCCAAACAGGACTAGCTAGTTCTGCAGAACCTCCTCAGCCTGAGACCACTGTTGTGTGCATTTCTGCTGACGTCTTTTGCATATAAGCACCCTTATCTTGATCCCACCCTACCTGTCCCAGCCAAACATCTGTAAAGCCACTTCTTGGCCTCTTTGAATGCAGCTGCTGCTCACAAGATTTGTCAAGTGTCAAATCTCAACTCATTTTAATTCTCCTGAATGCTAAAATGTTCCCTTCTATACCATCTCCCACAGAATGGCCTGGCCTGGCACTTGGCATTATGATCCCGTCTCCTTTGGTCTTCAGGAAGCTGATGGTCCTTATTTTCACAGGGAAGGTGCTGACTCCCCAGAGAGGGCAACTGTGTATTGTACAAACATCTGCATAAAGTATTGTCATTTTCTTCAGAAAATGGATCTTCAGACTTCTGCCAGTGGCAGTCATGGTGATATGCCTGAGCTCTTTTGTTTCCTCCTCCTTGTAGCAGCAGAATGACAGGTCCTATCTGACAGACTCCTGAGGACTTTAGCATGAGCAGGTTTTCATCCCATTGACAATATCACTTGATTTTTAACATGGTATTTATGAATCATAGTTTAGCAGGAAATCTTCAAACAAACAGTGAATAATAGATAGAAAGGAGGCAGCTTAAGAATTGTTGATAAAATTAAAGGAACAGCTGTTAAATATCATAGCAGTCATTACATGCAGAAGTCATCTGCCACCTTCCAGGATACTTACACATTTTATATATAATGGAAATGAGATTTGGGTTAACCTTGTCACAATATGATCAATTTGCATCTCTGAGAGCTCAACACTTGACACCATCTTTCAGCTGTGACATTTGCCTTGATGCAATGCAATTAATAAACCAGCAGTGGATAAAGATGTAATTTGCAGTTCAGATGGCAAAATGTCTAAAATCTGTAAAGAAACCATGTGGCAGATGTATCAGTGGATGCTAAAGCCCAAGATTTTCTATTTTTTAAAGCACCATCATACGTCATATATTCTTTTTGTCCTATCCAACAGCTTGTCAAGTGCTTTTTATTTGTTGACATAAAGCTGGATATCATTAGATAGACTTTTATATCTTTTTTAAAAAACTGCATATGGATATATATGAATATATGTTATATGTAAGTATCATATATTGTTTAGATACATAAATATGTATGGACTAAAAATGAAAATAATTCTGGGTACAGGTGTTGTATTTATATCCTTGGGATCTTACCCCATCTGTGATGCAGAATGCTGTTAAAGTAATCAGAGTGTATAAATTGTGAAAGAAGTTTGTTACACTTCCTTTTTCTGATGTTCATGACATTTAGTCCTTAAGAATGGCATTTTGCCTGACTGCAGGATTCTGCAGGCAGGCAACAGCACTGGTATTCCCACTTCTGACTAGCGAGGCTGCTGTTAGGCCACATGTTAAATGCAGGAGACCCCGGGGACTTATCATTTAGCAATTCAGTTAACAGTGCAGATTCCTTTATGTCTTCATCTATCTCCTGCTTGCTTGGTCTGCTCTGTGAAATATGGTGCCACCAGAACTGGCTAACACTCAGAACTTCTGGTATTTTAAAGTATTTCCTCAGGGTTTTGATGGGGGTAGTCTTTACATTTACCTAATGAAAAGAATAGTTAAGAACCTCTGCTTGGTATATTGGGGGGTATTTATAAAATAGAGAAAATTTAAAAACAATCTTATACAGTTTGATTAAATAAACTTTCCAAACTTCCCATTGCTAATCTGAAAATGCTTGGGAAGGATAAGTGGATGAGGTTTCAAGAAATTAGATATCGCACTCTTAAATGTAGTGAATGGATTCATGGATGGGTGTATGGATATCATACTTTGAGCAGACAGTAAGTTGAACTGTTGGTTTTAGGAAAAGATAGACGAGGGTTTTAATAAAACCTTTATACTGGGTTAATATAATGAAAAAATATATTGAAAGATTTAGATAGAAATACATTGAAAGATTTAGATAGAAAATAAGTAGAAGGGCTTCAATCTTCAAGCCTCTACCTTGCTGACAGTCTAAGAAATAGATAGAAGCATGGTCATAATAATTGACAATGCAGAGAGAGCAAATACTGAGAAATCCAGCATGAATGGCAGAATAACCAAGCAAGTCACAGGGTAAAGGGACAGTAGAGCACTTTGCAGGTGGTAGAGGTCAGTTGTAAAGCAGAAGGCAGGAACAAGGACAGACAAATCAAACATGCAGTCGTGATTTCTGGGGGCAGACTGATACCAAGCAGGGGTGTGATAGGAGTTATCAATGGTGCAGTGGCTCCACTCTGATCTTGCACAGAATGGGAGGATGGAAAGGGGAGGCAATTCATGGTTATTCTGCAGTGAAAAACTGTCCATAAAGCACCAGGAACCTTTTGTCATTTTGACATTACTGCAGCAGCCAAGTGTTCCAGGTGCACACAAAACCCAAAGAAGAATGGGAACACTAAAGACATGCATAAGGCAATGAGAGGAAAGACGGGGAGAGTGAAATAGCGGAGAAACCTGTGTGACCTGCACAGCTGAAAGAGATCGGGGAAGGAAGATATGATGTGAATTCGGTAATGTCAGTAGAATGTTAATTCTAAGGCAGAAAGTTGTCTTTTTTTTTTTTTTTTTTTTCCCCGATACGTTAGTCCAGAGAACATACTTTATTTAAGCAGCCAGAAGCCAGTCGATTTGTACAACCCAATAGCCTTGACCTTTACTTTTTTCTGTTTCACAGCCTTCTCCTCCAAATCCCTTGGCCTCTGCCTGGTGCTTACGACCTGATACCCCAGAGAACGAAATGAGTGAGGAACACAGTGCTCAGCCCAGACAGGAGCACGCTTGAGAAGATCCGTTTACACAGTGGATCTTCTGCTTTAAAAGGAATAAAAAAGCCAGCTTCTAGAGGAAGGGAGCAGCAGCATCCGGAGATGCTGGTCTGTCCTGGGTTCAGCTCGCTGTGTGCTCCCCCGGGGGTGCATTCCCCAGCGCCGTTTGAGGCTGCTCAGCTCCATAAATGCCATTTGCATCTGGACAGGATGTAACAAGAGCTGTAAATCACTAACGGCGGAGGAACAACTCAACTCCAGGAGCAGACACGGCGGAGCCGGGCCTCCGCGAGCTATGGCAATGTGTGAAAGGCATCTTTTGTTGGGGGGGGGAGAACTGATAGCAATTAGGTGATACTTATCTTGCCCTTTGATGTGTTTTTACACAAACAACGTTTTCCTCCGCGACTTGCGGTATAAAAGAGGAGCTGTGCTTCTTGACACCCTCCTACATCTCCGAAACAAGGCAGGATGACCAAGGCCCCTTTCTCTGTGGAGTGGTTGTCCCAGAGCAGCCAGGCACCCAAGAGCACCACCGCGGGCTCCCCTCACCGACCATCCTCCGCCGGCCACCGGCCCGCTTCCGCGTCCAGCCCCGGCTTGAGTGACGGGAGCAAGGAGCAGCCCGCCGGGCCGCGGCACGGGAGAGGCGGCAGTAGCCGGGAGCGTTTGGCGACGCCCTTTGCTGCAGGTAACCGCGGCCTCGGCGATATCCTGGTGCTCTTGCAATGGGAGGAGAAGGACGGACGGGCCTGGTACCCTCCACACTCCGGGTCTCCCGATGAGGCACGACTGTTGCCCTGAAGCGAAGGAGGCGGGTGGCACCCGAGAGGTTCCCAGGCCTGGCTGACCCTTTTCTCTCCCTTTCGCCTGTCCCCAGGAGCAGGCGAGCGGCCGTGTGGAGCAGAGCAGTCCCCGCCGGAGGGAAGTCCAGAGCGCTCGGGCTCCGAGGAGGGCGGTGGCAAGGTCGGCCGGCGGCTGCGCACTGCCTTCAGCGCCGAGCAGGTCAGCACCCTGGAGAGCTCCTTCCAGAGGCAGCAGTACCTGGGGGCGGCCGAGCGCCGCAAGCTGGCCCGCAGGATGCGGCTCTCGGAGGTGCAGGTGAGCGGCGGCCTCGGGCAGCACCGTGAGTTGCCGTTGCTTGGGCGTTGGCCGCGGCGTGAGCTGGGCGCCGCTGTAACCTCAGCTCTTCTCCTTGCCTCCCCTTTCCCCTAGATCAAGACCTGGTTTCAGAACCGCCGGATGAAACTCAAGCGGCAGTTGCAGGAGCTGAGGACGGAGTCTTTCTGCAGCCCCCCTTATGGACCTCAGAGCAGCATCGTACCCTTGCCTCTCACGTACATGGCCCAGCCACTTCCTCTGTTCCGGCAAGGGGCTGCCTCCGGAGGCTTCACCTTGGCGGCGCTCCCGGCACCCAGCCCGGAACTCAGCAGTGCCTGCAGAGCACAGCCTGTGGGCTTTTGGGCGGCACCCTGCTTTGTTGGGTACGGGGACCCCACAGCTTTCTTGCTGGGTGTCTGACCCTTTGATACGGACGATGACTAAGGAGGATTTGCACTACGGATACCTATCTGTAACTGCCTGGTGGAGTTATGATGCAACGATGTGCAAGATATTTTACAGAGACATACTGGACAATCTGAATCGTGGACTTCAGGCCCCAGCATTTATAGGCAACTGTGTAAAATGGAAAAAAAAAGTGGGACAAACACTAATATAAATCTTTTAATAAACTTAAACTTTTTCCAGGTTTGATGTGATTATAGAGCTATTTATCCTACCCTAAAAGATAACTCTGTTAAAGGAAGCACAGATTCCTTATTATTGAGATCTTTTCTGCCCCCCTGCAATTTACTGAGGGTAAGTGCTAAAAAGCGTGAATTTCCCACTGTCCTCTAAAACAGGTAAAGCCCTTCAGCTAATCCTTAGATTGTATTTTCTATGATCATGTGCTTTTGACCAAATATTTGGATACACCTGTTACTAATACTTAATACTGGACTTGTTATAGTCCAGATGAAACCCTTTAAATAACATAGAATGTGATTTTAAGATGTAAAATGTTACCTACTAAATAAATATGTAAATATATCTTCATGCTTTCATGTGCAGACTCAGTAGATTAGCAGTGGCCTCTTGCCTAAACAGGGCTTGGAAAGGACCTATCCTTGAAATTTCTGATCAACAAAATAGTATCCCAGTATGTCACCTAATGCACCTAATAGGGTATGAGAGTGATGATCAAAAGAAATGTAACATTCCAAAGCTGGTTTTCACCAGGTAGCAGTAAAGATGTTACCGTTGTGCTATGCACTTTTAAAATTTGAACAAAGCTCTGGAAAACTTGAGAACAAAACAGCCTGATTTCAGGCTAGAGAAAGAGCTCTGAGAAAGGTTCCTTGACTGATGTAAGTTGCCATAAATCTTTCAAAGTCAACTGTCAACTAACATGAAAAGTGCAATAAAAATTTCCATCACTTTAGAGTTGATCTTGGGGGTTATTAGAGTATTTCCGGCACACTTGTAATCTGGGTTCCTGTAATGAATGGTCTGAAGGTTCTCTGTCATCCTTGACCACCCCTATTTTCTTTTGTATGCAGGGGCCAATCTGCTACTTTGAGTACACTTGCCTGATGAAAAGCAACATTATATGACGCTGAAAGCTGTGGCCTTTGATTTTCTGAGAAGCTGTCACATTTGGAAGTCTCCCTAATTATTTTGTAATCCATGGTGTATTTTTCTAGCCATTTGAGATGTTAGCATTTACTCGCGCTTGCACAATTAATGTAGCTCTAATGCAAGAGTTTCAGAAAACTAATAAGGGCTCAGGTGCTATCAATCTTGGTGAAACCTCTTCAGGAAAATGATGCAGTTTGGGATTAAGGAAATTTGTTGACACTAGATAAAAATTCCCTTTTAGTGGGGACTTATTTCTTAAAGTCAGGTATTGTTAAACGGCTATATTGATTACCAAAAAAAAAAAAAAATACAATTCTGACTCTTTCAAACGTCATTAGGGAACTGGAATGTTTCCACAAAGCTTCCCAATGGTAAATACTTTCTGTTCGTAAGCATCCAATTATTAAACTGAAGGGGGAGGGGGGAAAGGGAGTGAGTCAAGACTCAATTTGGCCATTAAAGAATGGATGAATACAGATTCCCTTAAATGAATACAGGTTCAAGGGAATAGTGGTTGAGATGATCCCCTCATCATCTTGTATTGCCACAGAGAAGAACCCCACCCTCCAACTGTTTCCATCACCCCGTACAAAAGGAATAGCAATGGCCCTTCTTGCTGTTAGAAGTCAGAGCCGCCGGATTCGGGAGCTGGGGGTGGGGTGTGAACATCAGCCTCCGGGGGGACTGGTCGGGCCCGGGGATGCCCGCAGCACTGCGGGAGCTTCCCAGCCCAAATGGGTTCGGGTGAAAGGTGTGGGGGGAGATACGGTCTCCATCGCAGCTGGGCCCGAGGGAAGTGAGAGAGAGATGAAAGGGCTCGGGAGGAGAGAAGGGGAACAAAGTGGTCCCCAGCCGCGGAGGGAAGCTGCTTCCGTAGGGCAGGGTTTGTGAGGGGCAGATGATACTAAGGGAGAGACAGGCGCACACCTTATCGGTGGTTATGACACCTCCTGAGGTGTCCGACCCGATCTCTGCCGGGTATACCCTCCCGGGGCTGCCAACCCCTAGCCGGCTCCGCTGCAGCATCATCCGGCTCTCTGCGGCTGCTGGGCCGGGCCAAGCTTAACCCAGCGGGCGGGCACCGCAGAGCCGGCCTAGCTCCTGTCTGCCAGCATCTGAGTGCTGCTCCATTGAACCCCAGCTGTGGTCGGAGGGGTGGAGGAAACTGCTCCTCCTTGCAAAGGTTTACAGCAAGCAAGAGGCGACTAGGCCTGCTGGGACAATATGTCCTACATGCAGTCTTTGCCATGATTTAGGCCCGCTGGATTGTGGGAACCACGCCAGGACAAGCAGGGCTGCGGGGCCGAGTGACACCAGCTACTGGGCGATCTTTGCTGGCAGGGTGCTGGTACGCGGCTCCCCCCAGCCTTGCTGGGCGCGCGGGCTGACGGGTGACTTGTCTCCGGGCGTATGAGCTGCAGAACGGCCGGCAAGGAAGAAGCCGGCTTCTGTTTGTAAAGGTGCTAATGATCACTTAACATAATGATTCCTTGGCAACTTGTATGCTCAACAAGCACACGAAACATCTCGTCAGTGTTTTAGCAGCGCTAGCCTGAAAATATTGTTGAGTTTCCCGACAATTGCTCAAATGAATGAGGGAGGTGATTTTTCACTTGGCTGAGTCCCTAAAGGTAACAGCTTCCTCTGAATACCTACGTGCTAATCCCTCTTCTTCGTGCAAAAGTTGGCTTTCTCTAGAACGTAACTGCTACATTCCAGAGGTCTAGAAAACTGTATATGAAATAATTCATTTTTGCTAAAGCGGTCCAGCTATGTTACTCAAAAGCGGCTTCAAGTTTTCTTTTTGACGTTGGAGGAAAAAGAAAAAACACCATCAGAAATCCCTTCAAGTAGTATTCCCGCTTGTTTGAATTTCTCACCCACTGTGTTTTAATGCCGGCAGCAATAAAGGAGCAACAGTGGCAACGTAGGACCCCTGCACACTCGCAGTCCCTCTCCGGGAAGCCAAGAGACTCCGCTGGGGCACCGCACTCACTGCTCCCTCCTGCAGGTAGCTCCTGGGCTGCTCCATCAGCGTGGTCGAGAGCCCTCTTCTTTCTAGCAGCCCCCCTTTAAGTTCGGGTGTAACAACCACAATTAAATAACCACCAGTTATTAAATAACCGCTGAATAATCACCAGTACCGGAATACTCTCCGACAAGACAAAGCAGTATCTGCAAGTCAGCTACAAATGGGGGGAGGAGGGCAAAGCCGAGTCCATTAGCTGGGGAGGAGCAGCATAATGCTTGTGCGTTGAAACTACAGGAGCTCCCGGCCTGGCGGCTCTCGAGGAAGGGGCTGTATAACCTGGAAGCTGGGCCCCCCAGGGAGGAAAAGGGGTGGGAAGGCAAAATTGTCGGAGCATTAACTTCAAAGTCTTGCACCCCGCAGTGCGTGCACGAGGGGGAAATAGAGCGGCTGTCTTTGCGTCACGGTAACCACGGGGAGCCGGCCCGGCCCGCGCCTATCGAAAGCAACCGACGGGGGGTGGAGAAAGGTGTCGGGGTGTCCTCCCCTGCAGCTCCCAGACTCGCTGGAGCCACTCCGAGGACCTCTTTACAAACCAGGTGAAGTTATTCAGCGTTGTGTGCTAATCGGGAGAGATCTTGCACTGGCAGGCCATTACATCTAATTGCTGCCCATTATCTCTTTCTTTGATACGCAATTACATGACAATTAACTTGATAAACCCCAAGGAAGGGGGGGGGGAAGAAGGGAAGAGAGGGAGAGGAATCAAAAAAGGAGACATCTCTTGGTCTCGACATGTTCCTTGTGTAGACTTTTATTTTCCTTCATAGTTGTCTCCTAAACTCCTAGGCCTCGCTTTAGTGGTAACTCCTAGTAGTATGTAGTAGGGAGCTAATCCCGGCACCTCTTTTGGTATTGAGACAGGTTAAGTGCTTTAATTCTTATTTTAGTGCTTAGTTATTCGGCCTGGGCAATTCCGAAGACCTGTGGAGGTCTCACAAGTCCTCGGACAATTTGGCGTGCGTGGGAATTCAAGTGCTATTTTGTTTCGAGCTAATTTGTATTTAATTTATCGGAACGCTTTTTCCATTAGTTGCGCAAAGAACTGAATGAGATTTCCCTGATAAACTTTTTAATGCAAAGCGCCTGTTCGGTCCCACAGCTGCTGAATGGGAATAGCTGGGCTTGCAGCGTGTGAGCCGGGAGGGAAGAGGGTGTAGCACTGCTGGGTGAGTCAGTGGCATTTGTTATTTATGGGGTGTCAGCCCGCGTTCTTCCCGCGGGCCAAGGAGCGCCTGGGTGATGACACTGTTAGTGCTCACCGGTACTTCAAACAGAGCAGAGGCTATTCCGAAACAATCGATCTCGTTGATGCCTAATTGACTATCTAATAGCACCTATCAGGACATCTAAAGAGGCGCTGAATAACCTAGTTAGCATTTCCAAAGGGTAGCAGTGGAGGGTACAAACAAGCCACCGATTGTCCCACAGGCCGCGGCAGGCCGCTCCGGGGGCCCAGTTCGGGCCATGCCACTGCCTATGGCCTGGGGTTTCCTAAGGCCTCGGCAGGAGCAGGGCACAATGTTTTACCTGTGTTAACCTCCTCCCTTTTAGTAAATCAGCTTACTTACCTCCAAAGGGCTGCTGCGCTGCCCCAGATTCCCTCCTCCTGCCTATTTGTGCAGCTAAACAGGGGGCTTGTTGGGTTTCCCTCCGGAGGGGTGGGGTGGCAATGCATTTGTGCTTACTGCATGCTCATCTCCAGTTTTGTCAAGTAGACTCTGGAATAACTGGGGTTTGTTGTTGTTAGGTGGGTTGGGTTTTTTTTCAGAAAAAAACAAATGAGATCTGCCTATGCTGGAGCCAAAAACCTTGGTAGCCCAACAGGTCCCTGGTCTGTTGATGGTGATTTGGTACATCAGCTCTTCATCTATGATAAATGCTATGATAGTTTGCTCAGTACATATATATATATATTTTTTTTTTTATGGACTATTTTCAGACATGGCTCCTAGAAGGAAAGTTGGAATGTGAAGATTTGCC